ATTTATATATATGTAAGTTATTATTAAAACTGTAAGAGGATTTTGTAATAATATTTTGTAAAGTCTAGTTTAGTTATATATCTAACTCAATAATTTATATTTTATTTTTTTTTTTAAATATTACTTACACAAACTTATGTTCAGTAAAATGTAATTTAATAATTATTTAGCCAATAATTTAAAAAAAAAAGAATTTTTATTTATTCCATAAGCTTTTTAAATTTGCTGAAGATTTTTGTGTCCACAATTGACGAATTATTCTGAGATTTTTTGCAAATTTATTTTTAACAAACAACATGCATTTTTACAAATAAATAAATTTTTCTACCATGAAAACCAAAAACTTGGTATAATTTTGTTATTGAATTTGTATGAAAATTTTCTAAGTGTTTTTGTTTCGTCAGCTCTCTTGTTAAATTTTTTATAACTTTGTTTATATAATATTCCTATAGATATTAAATTGATCGCAAAACGCATCTCGTCGGCCTCTATATATATTATTATTGCAATATCATGCATTTGAAAATGCAATAAATAAACACATGATCGACATGAAGAACTTGCCAACATTTTTATAAGACATTTTTTATTTCAAGGTGAAGTGGAAAAGAAAAAATCACTTATAATGAATTCTTTTCACACCAGACACTTTGCAAAAAGTGCAATAAACCCATTTGAAAAAGGACAAATAAAAACATGAGTACCAAGAAATTAAAAGTTTTTGGTATTCATGGGAGAAGAAATACTTTGTTATTTGTTGAAAATAAATTTACAAATAAATCAGACAAGAATTCATCAATTGTTGAAACAAAAATATGCAACAAAATTTAAAAGTTGGAAATAAATTGAACATTTTTTGTAACGAATAAATGCAAAAGTAGTGACTGAAAAATTATCACATTGCATTTCAGTAAACATAAGTTTGTTTAATGAATATTTAAATACATAAAATATTAATTATATAATAAAATATATAACTGGGGTGTCTCCAAAAATAATATCACAAAATCTTACACTTTTAATAATAACTTCCATATAAAATTTTATTATTATTTTATTTATGATAGTAATTTATTGCATTCAGAAACAATGAAGATTGCATTTTAATATTGAATAAATATGAATTAGATTCGGTTGTTTAATGTTAATAAAATTCTGTTTATATAATTATTCTTATGTACTGTTTGAAAAATTAAATTTTATTATGGAAAAGTTTAAAATTAAATTATATCATTATTTGTTGGAAAAACTAGGTCTGTATAATATTACATCAAATTTATAGTAAATAGATGTATGGTAATAGAAATAAAAAAAAATGAACAAATAAAATGAATTTAATGGTTCTGGTAAATGAGTTCATCCCTGATAGAAATTTATTATTAATTAACTAAAATTAAATCACTAGGTGTCTAATATAATATTGCATATATATGGTGTTAAAAAAAAGAATTTTTAATATTTATGTGTGCATAAATTTTTGACATGAAATAAATTTATAATGAATTTTTGGGTTGTATTTGGAATTATACAAATATAATATTTTCCAATACAATAAAGTACTTACCAAACATGGTGCAATATTTCTTCATCTAATTAGCCATAAATAAAAATTTTGATAATGTTCAACACCTAACACAATTTTAACAAAATTTAAAACTGGAACTAAATTTATAGCAACAATATTTTGTAACAAAGAAGTATGTATTTAAAACTTGAATTTAACTCAATTTCTTTAGATATTGTGTATATAAATAAGGCACAATTGAAATTTGATAATTTTCAAAACCTAACCTAACATGACGTGCCAAAAAATTTAACACAAAATTTGAAACTACAACAAACATTTAGGAAAAATAACAATTAACACATAAGTACGTGTTTAGAACTTGCATTTAACACTATTTTTTATAAATTGTGTAAATAAATAAAGCACAATTAAAATTTGATAATTTGTATGACGACCTAACCTAACATGACACCTTTCGAAAAAATTAACACAAATTTTAAAACTATAACAAATATTGAAGCAATAACAATCATTAACACGAAAGTACACATTGAGAACTTGTATTTAACACAAGAACTAAGTCATTAAATAAGACAATTAAAATTTGAAAATTTTTAATACCTAACCTAACCTAACATGACGTGCCAAAAAAATTTAACACAAATTTTGAAACTAACAAATAATTAGCAAAAATAATAATTAGCACAAAAGTACGTATTTAGAGCATGTATTTAACACAATTTCTTTAGGTCTGACTCAATTATTAAGCACAATTAAAATTTCATAATTTGTTTGCTAAGACCTAATCTTACACTCACCTGCCAAAAATATTTTGCACACAATTTTGAACCTATAATAAATAGTTAAACAAAACCATTTTATAACAATAAAATATATATTTAAAATTTGTATTTTACACAATTTCTTTAGCACTAAATCAATAAATAAAAGCACAATTAAATTTTTAATAATTAAACAATTTAAGCTCGAACTGCCATTTTGAAATTTCATCCTGTCAAACCAGCGTGACCAACTTCAGACTAGATCGTATCAACTGAAAATGGCGCTGAATTCAAATTTGAAATTAAAACATTAGTAATTAGTATTTTAATAAGTATATATTATATATATATATATATATATATATATATATATATAATGATTCAGAATATTTTTGTGAAGTCATCGAAGTCAATAAAGACATTGCAAATATTTAGCGTTGCGAAAAAGTGAAATATTGCAAAATTTCGTGTTTATTTAGGCATAAATAATAAAGTTTGTGGTAAATTCCAAGATACACGTTTTTAATAATGATAGTGTTAGATCAGAATCGTTTTGAACAGGGTCGGATTCAAACATTTAGTCAAAATAAAATACTGATTCAAAATTCTGGTATTAAATATAAATAAGGAAATAAATATATATAGTGTTTTTGGTAATTAATAATTATATATATATATAATTATTAATTACCAAAAACACTATATATATTTATTTCCTTATTTATATTTAATACCAAGTTTTTGAATCAGTATTTTATTTAGACAAATTTTTTAAATTTGTCTAAATTTAAATATTACATTAATTTGTATCCAAGAATTTAATATAAAATAATTTCAATACACAATCGACAAGAGTGCCCAAAATCGTTTCCTATACTTCTCCGATGCTTTTTTGGTTTTGTTAAAATATTTTTCTAGAGGCTAAAGATACATCGTTTTTGTCTTAGACAAACAAATTATAAATAGAATTCTGCATAAAACCCTTAAACTAAAATTTAAGTTACTAATTTAAAAAAAAATCTACAAACACCCAAACATGCCAAATCAAAATTCAACAAACTTAGAAATTGTGTATCGAAATTTATTACAATTTTGATCACTAATCCTAAAATAAAATTAAAATAATAATGCATTTATAAGATAATAGAATCATTAAAAAAGAATAGTAAAACTGTATATATGAAATTAATATATGGAAAAAATTCTACACAAACTCTTCGACTTATTGTTTAAATAAATTTAAGACACTCTTTTCTCGGTTTTATCAAAATATTTTGTCACAGGTTGAAGATATATATTTTTTTGTCTTTGGCAAGTAAAATCAATATAAAATTTTACTTAAAACCCTATTTTCAAAATATTTATTGCTAATTTCAAAAAATTACTTCAGTCATCGAAACTTTATATAATAAAATTCAATACTCTTCTAGATTGTGCATGAAAATTCGTGTATAAATCTGAAATTTTCGGATAAAAAATTAATAAAATATACTGTATGATTTATTACCATTATTATATATTTATTTCCTTATCCAATACACCTCTGTATTACAAATTGTAACAACCTGTTGCTCATATAATACCTATAATTTTTTCCTATTTGTGGTGACAATTTCTCATTGTGGTTTATTAAATTATTTTCCTACAAAATGGAATTACTTTTTTAGTTTCGAAATTTCTTATGATTTACATAAAAAAATCAATTACAATCTATCAACAAATATAATAATAATAATAATAAAAAAAAATTTGAATAACTTGAATTTAGTAATAATTACTAAATTATAAAATATTTCGATCAATTTAGTAATGTTTGTTGAATTTATATTAGAAGCATTTTAGAACTGGTTTTGGTGTTGAAATTTATAAAAAGTGTTTGATTAACATTTAAGTTAAATGTTAGTTGCACCAAATTAATTGTGAAATATTAAAATGAAGTGATGTTATGTAAATAGGTTAAAAAATTACGCCAAAAATTATAAAATAAATGGCTTAATAATTGTTTTGATCGAGAACCTTTATAAGCATTTTTTTTAAACAATATATTAGAAAAAATTTGACTTGTTTAGAAATAATTCTAACATTTCAAAATACTCAAAAATTTGTATTTAGGTATTTTTTGTTACTTAAACATAAAAATAATTTATTAGGTTTGTTAATTAAAAAAATATTTATACTAAAATTAAATATCTACAGTCAACCCTTCCGATTTTTTTTAGCATTATGTGAATACTAGACATTTTTTTTTGAACTTTTTCAAATAACTTGGAAATTTTGTTATGGACACTTTAATTTGGTTACATAGGTGTAAACTAGATGAAATTTACTAAAATTTAGTAAATACTGTTGTATACATTTGTATATACAAATTTTGAATAATTTGTAGTTGAAATGTGGATTTTCGATAATTATCAATATTAATATTTTTGTAGATTTTAATAAATAGCTTAAAAATTATATTCTGGACATTATAATTTTTTCACATTAGCAAAAACTAGATAAAATTTACTTAAATCTAGTATAAACTTTTACACACACGTGTATATCGAAATTTCAAATAAAATGAGTTGTTAATCACTAAAGAGAATATTACGTAACATAGTCGAAATACAAAAGTGCCTCGTTAATGCTATCACAACGCAATTCATACCAAATTTTGATATCAAAGTGTTTATAATAGTTTATACCAGATTTTAGTAAATCTTATCTAGTTTTTATTAATGTAAACAAATAATGTCCAAGAATAAAATTAATTGTTATTTAAAGAAACGTAAAATATGTACTAAATTTCCCAGAACTATATAATTGCAAATTACCGAAGTACTAAAATCCGCATTTCAACTACTAATTATTCAGAATTTCAATATGCAAGTATATGAAACAATTTATACCAGATTGTAGTAAATTTTATCTAGTTGTAGTAAGTGTAAGGCAACGTCTACGAAGAAAATTAAAAGTTATTCGACAAAATCTAGAAAAATGTCCTAAATCCGTAAATTGATAATTACCAAAATACTAAAGCTCGCATTTCACCACGAATTATGCAAAACTTCAATATACAAGTGTATATAACAGTTTATACCATACGTTAGTAAATTTTGTCTTGTTTTTATAAATTTAAAACAAGTATAATGTCACGGAAGGAACTTAAAAGTTATTTTAAAAACAGTAAAAAACATCAGTTCCCATAGAACCGCATTATCGGCGGGTTGACTGTAGTTATTAGATTAATAAATAAATTTAAAAATAAAATGAATAAATGCAAAACTCACTCACCAAATCCAAGTATCTATCTAAGTCGATCGTCCACTATTTCGGCCCTGGTTTTTGCAGACATCTCGAACATAAAGCTTGTCGACCCGGTAGCTTCGGCGCCGGGTCGACACGCCTTAGATCTGATGTCTGCAAGACGCAGAAACCAACTAAACTGGATCGTACGAAATTCTCAATAATTTTGACAAACATAGAACAAAAATGTCACTTTGTAAGGATAGGAAACTTGTGAACAAAACATTTGGGGTATCGATACAGGTTTATTTGTTTGATTTTAAATCCTATCTATGATAGAATGCTCTGCTAATTGAGAAGCCAGTATTTTGTAAACAAACAACAAATGCAAAAATTCTATTTGAGGAATAAAAGTGCGATGAATACAAATACAAATACAAATTTAAATATAAATAAAGAGTTGAGTTTGTTAATTATGCAAAGGCACTTAACATTTCAATTGTACGGAAACGGAATTACAAGTGAAATGAATATAAAATCACTATAAGGAAATATCTTGAGAAATTATTGTAATACATGTGGTAATGGATATATATATATATATATATATACGTGTATATATATATATATATATATATATATATATAAGTAGGAACACATACAATTACTTAAATTTTTTATTATATATTTTATTCAAAGTTATTGCAATTAACTTACAATTTCAATTTTTTTTTTTGAAGTAAACTATTCGTTCTACATTTTTCAAATTTTAATATGTTATTCTTCAATATATGTATTTTTTAATTATGCAATAATTTTTGATAATTTTATATCAAAATATAGAATTATTAATATTTTTTTGATTGAATTGCTCGAGACCAGAGAATTAAATTTTTATGAAAAATACATACATTAATATTTTTATTGTTATAACTATTTTAAACCGTTTGGTTTTTATTTTTGAAATGTTTATATAATATCATTTAATTTGACTATTTTAATTACAAATACTAAAATTGATAATTTTTATATTTATAATTTAAGAAAAAAATGATTTTTTGCTGATTGATTTTATTTTTATTTTAATTAGGAACAAGCAATAAAAAGAAACTATTTTTTTTTACAAGTTTGGCATATTTTTAGCTTATATATTTGACTAAATTTGATTATATATATATATATATATATATATATATATATATATATATATGACTTTTGTAAAGTTTGATTTGCAAATAATTTAGGTTAATAGAAATTTCATATTGTTTTTTGTTTAATTTTTTGCTCTTGTATATAATTTTGATGAGAGATTTAAGCAAAAATTATAAATATCTGAAATTTTTGGTATAAAATGTATGAATTTTAGTATTTGTTATTAAATTAGACTTATTGAATAATAAAATATTAAAATATCAAGGTGGTATCTCGAATTGTTTACCCTTAAAAAAATTTACTAAACTGAGTTTTCAGTATTTGTTGCTTTGCATACACTTGAGATGTTTATGCAGAAAATTCTAAATATCTCCAAATTTTGGTGTAAAATATATAAATTTTAGTTATTTTTATCAAAATAGACATATTGAAAAATAAAATATTAAAAAATCAAGGTTATACCTTAATTTTTTTGCCCTTAAAAAAATTTAAAAAACTGAGTTCTCAGTATTTGTTGTTTTATATACAATGAAATGTTTATGCAGAAAATTAATAATATCTCAAAATCTTGCTATAAAATATTGCAATTTTAGTATTTGTAATTAAAATAGACACATTGAGTAATAAAATATAAAAAAATCCAAGTTGTATCTTAAACGGTTTGTCGTATAAAATTTTTACAAAATTGAAATTTCATTATTTGCCATTTTACAGTTTGAGATGCTTATGCGACAAATCTTACATAACTCAAATTTTTGGTACTAAGTGTATCAATTTTAGCATTTCTTAATAAAACTGATATATTGAACAATATAATACCAAAAAATTAAGGTTGTAAAATAAATAATTCACTCTGGAGATAATTTTGCACAAAAGAAGTACAATTTTTATTCATTATAAATTTGAGATGTGTATACAAAAAGGTATAAATATCTCAAAATTTCGTAAGTAAACATTGAGACTTTAGTATAAACGTTTTGTACTAAATTTTTTTTAGCAAAATGAAATTTCATAAATAACTATTTAGCAGTTTGAGATACTTATGCAGCATATCCTTGATAACTCAAAGTTTTGGTCTGAAATGTATCAGTTACAAAATTTTTCATAAAAATATATATATGCAGTAACAAAATGGCTAATAAAATTTAACGAAAAATATTAATGTTGTTATTAAAATTGTTTTTTACCAAAGTGCACAAAATGAGACTCGCGCTGAAATTAGCGATTTTTGGCATCAATTTCCGCGGAATTTCCTAAATACTTGCACAAACAAATGATCAATTACATATGTCTCCATTATACAATTGTTGTAGTTAATTAACAAAATGCGTAACAATAATAATTGTTGCTAAAGTACAATAAATGTTAATTCGACTTTCGCCTCGGCGGCGACTCAAGAATTCCGAACGGTAAGTGACCGTTCATAGGAACGAATAAACGGCTAAATAATTCACAAACACATTGTAAAATATATAAATATATAGTATTATACATTAACAATTTATTTCTGTGTGTTTGTATGTTTGCAAAGTGCGGTCACGCCAGTTTTACACTCACTTTCAAACTGATTTTATAAGTTTTTTATGTCCTCAAGTCCGACGACAAGATTTTTTTTGAGATTTAGATTTCACACATCGATGGAAACCGTTGTTGAGCAATCGCCGAAAATTTTAAGAAAGTCAGAAAATTGTATTTAGGTTTAATAGAAATTTTATTCTGAAGTTTTGGCCATAAAAATACAGAGGCGTGCTCTGGATTTGAGTACTTGAAATGTATCTTTTTTTGTGCATTTTTTGGGGCAAATTATTTGCTTTATAACCTTGAATTTCTCATATAATATTAGTCAATATGCCTATTTTAATATGAGGTACTAAAATTGATACATGTTATACCAAAATTTTGAGTTATTTAGGATTTTCTGCATAAGCCTTTCAAATTTACATAAAGCAAATAATGCAATTTCATTTTAGTAATTTTTTTAGGGTGAACCGTTTAAGTTACAATCTGCATTTTTCTGTATTTTATTACTCAATATGTCTATTTTAATAACGAATACTAAAATTGATATGTTTGCTACCGAGATTTTGAAATATTTGCATTTTTTGTATAAACTCTGGAAATTTGTATTTAATAAAATCAGTACTTTCTCGTGCAATTTTTATTCCTAGAACAAATTATTTGCTTTATAGCCTTGATTTTTTTATATATTATTTTTCAATATATTTTTTTAACTTCCCGTAGGGCAAGTTATAGTAATCGCAAAAAAATCGAAAATGAAAATTTTTATATATCTTTACGTTTCAGAGGTTTCTGAACATTTTGGCATACATTAGAAAAAATGGATGTATGTGTGTGTGTGTGTGTGTGTGTATGTATGTATGTATGTATGTATGTATGTATGTATGTATGTATGTATGTGTACGTGTGTGTATGTATGTGCGGATACAAATTTTCGTCTACGATTTCGGGAACACGGATCAACCGATTTGAATAATTCAAAAAACATTCGATTCGTATTGATAAGGAGACGTGCTGATTAGTTTTTGGCGAAGGCAGGTCCAGCAGTACCTCCGTTTTTAAGAGAACGGAGCGTCCGATTTAAATAATTCAAAAAACATTTTACTTGTATTGACAAGATGTAGAATTTATCAAATTTTCATAAAGGCAGGCCTAGCGGTTTCGGAGATCTAATGAAAAAAGTAAAAAAAAATGCCATTTGGCGGTTAAAAATGGTCATTAGACATATGCACATCAAATTGTCAGATATTTTATAGAGATTTTAACAATAAGTATATTTTTTTTTTACATTTCTGTGGGTTCCGTACCAATGCTTATGCGTTAGACGGCGGCGCGGCACCTGCGAGCTTTGACATTTAGTCTCTATGCAGTTCAAGCAGTGCGATTGCTTTGAAAAAAAGTTCAGAATTTTCAAAATATGTCAAAATGAAGAAAACATTTTTTTTCAAAAAAATTTTTTGTTTTCAAAAAAAAATTTTTTTCTCAAAAAAAAAATTTTTTTTTCAAATAAAAATTTTTTTTTTCAAAAAAACGGTATTTTTTTGTCAAATTTATAGTTTCTCAAAAATCTATTTTTTTCGAAGTAAATTTTCTTTCAAAAATGTTAATCGTTTTTAAAAAAATAATAATTTATGGTGCGGGAAGTTCCAGCAATTTGCCTTAAGGCACGATGCCCTAATTGCCTTAAGACAGAATTCCACTTACAGCTAGGTTATTAAGTGATACTAAAATTAATATATTTTATTACAAAATTTGGAGATATTTAGGATTTGCTGCATAAACATCCTTAATTTATATAAAATAGCAAGTAATGAAATTTCATATTTGTAATTTTTTCAGGGTGAACCGTTTAAGTTACAATCTGCATTTTTCTGTATTTTATTACTCAATATGTCTATTTTAATAACGAATACTAAAATTGATATGTTTGCTACCGAGATTTTGAAATATTCATACTTTTTTGTATAAAGACCACACATTTATAACGAACGCAAATGGTACTTCTTTAGTGCAAAATTTGTTTTAGGAAAAATTACTTACTTTACAACCTTGATTTTTTTATATATGATTTCTCAATATGTCTATTTTAATAACAAATACTAAAATTTGTATATTTTATGACAAAATTTTGAGATATCAAGTATATTCTACATAAACATCCTAAATCCATATACAAAATCAAATGATGAATTTTGACTTTGAATTTTTTTTATGCGGAAGACTGTTCAAAATTCTCTCTTGATTTTATCATATTTCATTACTCAATATGTCTACTTTGATAACAAATACCAAAAATTGATATATTTTATACCAAAATTTAGAGATATTTAGGATTTTCTGTATGAACATCTCAAAACTGTTATATAAGCTCAAATAATGAGTTTTTTATTTTGCAATTTTTTTAGGACAAACCATTCAACAAAATTTAAGGCACATCCTCGATCTTTATATATTGTACTACTTAATATGTCTATTTTATTAACAATTAATAAAATTAATATACTTTGTACCAAAATTTAGAGATACTAAGGATTTTGTGCATCAACATCTCAACACATCTATATAAGACAAAAACTATTATTTGGTACTAGTTCACTATTAACTAAATTATAATAAATATATTTCTTCCAAAATTACAAATTTAAAAATTAGTTGAACTGTTAACAATTCACAATCAAAACAAATAAGTAGAACGTACTGTAAAAAATAGTAGTATTTTTTTTTCATTTCCAGTTAATTAATAAATTTGATACAATTTTCTCTCAATTTTAAATATATTACAAAATAGACATAATGGGTTTGAAATAGTTTCGAGTTTAGTTAGATAACGATAATAGATGTCGTTATTTATTGAGTCATATGGAAAAGTGCAACGAATTCATATCAGAGATCAACGTCGTGGAACAACTGATATGGATGTATGACGTCAGGCGACATAGATATACATATAGACATTGATATATATATATATATATATATATATATATATATATATATAATAGGTAAAAATGTTGTTTATGAAAGCGTGCACAAAGGCTGCGGCTACGTTCACTTTTTTTCATTAATTTTAAAGATGAAAATTTACTACCGGAACAGAAAATTTTCAATTTACCCAAGTGATGTAATAAATTTTTTACAATTGCTTTTGAACACCAAAATTCTAAACATTAACGATTTTCTCAACACTTTTCCATATAAAATTTTAAAACCAAGCCACAGGTTGTTCTCAGAAATTTTTATCTGAAAAAAAAAATTATACGAAAACCATTGTTTTTATACTCATATTAAATGATGTAGTATTTATTTAATAATTGTATTTCAGTATAAAATTTGATATAATTAATATAATTGGAATTAACAAATATATGTAAAGGTAATTATTTCTCTAATAAAATTAGTACTTAAATGCAGTTGAAATTTTGTGTTAATTAAAAATATTGTGTTGAAATTATTTCTTTTAATTTTTACTTTAATATATCTATTATATTGCTAAAAATACAAAAATTAAAACATCATATCGTGCTTTGTTTTATTTTTTTTTTTAAGTTAGTTCTATATTTTGTACTTCTGTATAGAACTGAGATGTTTATTCTGAAAATCATTAATATATCAAATTTTTAGTATAAAATATATAAATTTCAGTACTTGTTGTTAAAATAGACATATTGAGAAATAATATGTGAAAATTTTAAGATTGCAGTTTTTATAGTTTACAAGAAAATTCCAAGTTCTGGCTTAATTTTTGTGCCCTGAAATTACCACTCTGTATTGGGATGTTTATGTGAAAAATTAATTATCTTTCAAAATTTTGGTACAGAACATATCAATTTTAGTATTTGTTATTAAAATAAACATATTAGGTAATAAAATACAAAAAAATCTAAATTGTAGCTTTATCGGTTTACCCTAAAAAAATATGCAAAACCAAAAATGTCGTTAATTTGATGTTTTATACAAATTTCGAGATGTTTATGTGGAAAATTATTAATATCTCAAAATCTTGGTACAGAACATATAAATTTTAGTATTTGTTATCAAAATAGACATAGTAAGTAATAAAATATAAAAAATTCAAGGTTGTACCTTAAACGGGTTTTGTCTTAAAAAAATTACACAAATAAATTTACACTATTTGAAGTTCTATATGAATTTGAGATTCTTATATGCAGTATATCATTAATATCTCAAATTTTTGTGATAATATATACTAATTTTAGTATTTGATATTAAAGTAGACATAACAAGTAATAAAATACAAAAAATCCAAATAGTAACTTAAATGGTTTGCATTAAAAAAATTTAGAAAAATGAGTTTTTAGGGTTTGTTGTTTTATATATATATATTTGAGATGCTAATGCAGCAAAACCCCAAAAATTCAAAATTTTGGTGTAGAATGTGTAAATTTTAGCATTTGATACTAAATTAGACATATTAAGTAATAAAATACAAAAAATTCAAGATTGTATCTAAAACGATTTGCCTTAAAAAAATTGCCTTGCAAAAATGAGTTTTCAGTATTTGTTGTTTTATATACATTTGAGATACTTATGCAAAAAATCTCAAAAATACAAAATTTTAGTAAAAAATGTGTAAATTTCTATATTTTCTAATAAAGTAGTCATACGAAAAAATAATATATTAAAAGTTCGTATTTCTAAAGTAAGTAATTCACCCTAAAAAAATTGCACGAAAGAAGTACCTATCATTTTTTATTAATAGGAATTTGAGATGTGTGTACAAAAAGTATTAATATCTTAAAATCTTGATGTAAAATATATCAATTTTAGTAATTGTTATTAAAATAGACATAATGAGAAATTATATATAAAAATTTCAAACTTGTAGTTTTTATGGTTTGGCTTAAAAAAAATGTTTCAGTTTGTTCGAAAAATGTGTACCTAGAATTATTTTGTGTCGATATTTTGGTTCAGTAAAATTAATTATATATATATATATATATATATATAATTTCTTGACGTCTTAATGTAATAATTTATTTAGACACAAAGATTGTTTCAAACATTTTTACATAATTTTGCGTAAAATTTCCGTTTTTAACGTGTCAACCTTGATAAACATATAATGACATATCTTTTTGTATAAATATACACAAATATAAATATATATATATATATATATATACATATGTATAATATATAATATATATATATATATATATATATATATATATTTAAATAATCCAAAACCGAAGTGTCAAGGTAGCACGTGGGGTTCTGTCTTACAACTTTGTACTAAAAATTATTTGAAAAAAAGAAGTTTGCCCTCAAATAACTATAACACTAGTGACATTTACGCCAAATTTTTTTCACACAAAAATTCTCTAACATCTTACAATTTTTTTGTGTATTATTATTTTTAATATTTTTAACATTTCTTTAATATTTTTTACAGTTTTATCAAAATGCGTCACCTAATTCTCTTGGCGTGCGTGGTGTGTGCAGCACTAGCCCTTCCAGTTCCAGAAATGGATCAAAAACAACAAATCGCACAAATAGCACAATTAATACCACAGGTGAGAAAAAAATTATAGAAATTGAGTTTATGAATGTTTAAATATTATAGGCCTATGTATCTGGGCAAGTTAGCCCGCTGTAGTGCTTATAGTATGGCTGTTATGAGTAGAAGAAGTCATGCGTGCATTTATTTGTTGTAACTTTAAAAATAATTGATGTAGATAGATGATGTGTTTGAGGAATTTATTCACAATTAAATTTTGAATAAAATTGTCTAACATTGTAATTACCTATATCGATTCGGTATACCCATAAATCGTCCAAGAAAGTGAGAAATAGTTGTATACCAAAAGTGTTTACTTGAGCGTGATTGACTGGTATTACAATTAGTGTACCTGTAATAAATTTTTCTAAATATCTCATAAAATATGAAGTTTTGTCAAAAATTACTGATTAACTAAATTATAGCTAATAAAATGCTCTACAAAATCTGCTTTGACAAAAAATTTGTTGTCTTGAAAAATGTTTGCTAAAAACCATCTCGAAAAAATATATTAGGTTGTCAAATATCTCCATTCCGCTTTTTTATATATATATATATTTGACAACCTAATATATTTGACGTGGAGTGTGACTTGTGCAGTTTTTTGTAAATATTTTCAGAAATATCTATTTGTGTGAAAAAGTCCGAATTAACAAAAATGTAGCTAATACAATTTTCTATAAATTTAGTTTATCAAAAGTATATGTTATCATGAAAAATTTAGCTGAACTTATCAATCCAAACTCAACATTTCAGTCTTGTAACGCGTGACAATTTTTTAATAATATAATTTGTATTAATTTATTAGTTTTTTGTAAATATCTTAATTTTGTAAATAACTTCTAATATAGTAAATTATTAAGGATAAAATTTTCTACAAAACCTGCTCTAACAAAAATATTGTTGTCATTGAAGAATTTACATAAATTATTTCATGGAATCATGCCGAAACAAACTCTTTTGCGGAAGTTACATATATTTGTTCAAACATTTATAACTTTTAAACCATTAGATTAAAATGAATGATATATTAGGCAAATTTATGTAAAATTCAATTATCTAAAAATTTGTCTAATATTATAATGCCCTCAAACAACATTTTTTTAATAAAATTTGGATTATTAGAATCGATTTTTTTCCTAGCGTTTGAAATTTACAAATTTCTTTAGTTAAAAATTATTTTTATTAAATTATTTATAAATACAAGATTTATGTATTTTGTATTGAAAGCTTAAATTGTAAATTATTATATATATATATATATATATATATATATATATATATATACCTTTCACTTTTATTATTTTATAGACGTGGTATACTGTGTGGTATTATATTATACCAGAAACAATTTCCTGAAGTAATATCTTTGTAATGAAAACTTTATAACTTGTTTTAAAATATATACTAAATTCAACTAAAAACTTCATTACTAATTACACAAATTTAAAATACACTAAATTATCACTCATAATTGAAACTTAAATAAAAAATAAAAATGGTATAGACATTTTATACAAAGTAAACAAAATTTTTCATACTCATTTAAGTAATTTATTATCTTGATTTGTGTAACTATTTTGTAATGTTTATAATTTTTAAACAATACTTCTGACAGTATAGTTTTAGATCAATATTAGTAATAAATGATTTTGTTTATAACTTTTGATTAAAACAAATTAATTTAAAATGTATGTCAAGTTCAACAGACAAAGTCGATATTTTATTTTTAACCTCGACCACGGCCTTTATTTATAAAAAATTATATATATATATATATATATTGATGTATATATATAAATGTATATTATATTTATATTAGTACTTACACCTATTTTATAGAACAATATTTCAGAAATAGCTTCAAATTTGCACCACGATTACTTGTTTGAAATATGTAATTTTCGAGACGTTTTTTTTGGAAATATTTGCATGACAACAAAATTATTTCAGTTTTCAACTTCATTTCAGTTTTTCTACAAATTTTCTCAAAAGTTAATAATTTTGTAGATATATACACTAAACTAAAAATTTGTCATGATTGATGCTTGATGGAGAATACCTATTTTCAAAAGACGTTTTCATCAAAATCTTCCTTGACAACAAAAAATTTGTCTGAGAGAATTTTGTAGACAATTTTGTTATCTATAATTCAGATAATATGTATTTTTTTCTAAATTTTAATAGTTTCCAAGATATTTGGAAAAAAAAACTGTAACATTGTAACGATTTTGTAAACTGCTGCTTGTACTTGTACCAGCATATAATATATTTGTTTTTAAAATTATTATAATAATTATTAAGCACGATGTAGTTATTATTTTTGCAATTACTTCATTATTTATGCCTTCTGCAATTTATTTTTATCTTTGTGCATCTTTCTGTCATACAAATTGTGCAAATGCATAAAATTATGCAATTTTCTTCATATGAAGAATAATGAAATGAAATTTACGATGCGTTAAATGAGATCTAATCTAATTTATTATATATATATATATATATATATATATATATAAATCTACATTGTAGCCATAAATTTCACATGTAACACTTTTTCTTATATGATTTGTGTTAATTGGAATTTTGTATACAATTTTATCAAGTGCATAATTTATTTAAATTTATTTATAACATTATAATTTTTTGTAAGCTTTACATTTTGTAATACTTATTGTATTTTGTTAAAAGACACGTAAGAAGTAAATTATAGATAATAAAATTTTATGCAAAACTTGCTTTGACAAAAAATTTGTCGTCTTGAAAATTTTTGCTAAAACTATCAAGTGAAACTAACATTTATAATATAATATACTTAATGTAATTTAACTTGTGACCAGTAATAATTTTTTGTAAATAACTCTTTTTCAGTTTTTTATGAATATTTTCAAAAATATCAACTTTTGTGAAAAAATACTAATTAATATTAATAAGTAATTTGAATTTAATAAAATTGTCTGCAAAAGTTTCTTTGACAAAAAAATTGTTACCTTGAAAAATTTTGCAAAAACTATTGAGTGAAACTGAACATTTTGGTAGTGTGACTATTTACAAATTTTTGTAAATATTTTGTGTCAATTTTTGGGATTTTATGAATATCTCCAAAAATATCAACTCTCATAAAAAAATGATAATAAACTAAAATGTAGACTAGTGGGGTGTATGGCATCGTGCCTTAAGGCAAATTGCTGGAACTTCCCGTACCGTAACAAAATGTTCGAGGAATACTGGATATTTTCAAATAGATTATTATAAATGTTATAACATTATTGTAATTATTTTCAATATACAAAAATACTTAAAAAAAAAAATTATACTTTTTTTTTTCAAAATCAATTATTTTCTTAAGACAAGCAGAAAGTTCTTTGAATAATTTAAATCGCACGCTTAGTTCTCCCAAAAACTGTCATTTTTTACATATTTAGCTCCGTATCTTCAAAATGGCTAGGCCTGCCTTTGCCAAAAACTGATAAACACTTCTCCCAATCATTACTAATTGAATGTTTTTTAAATCATTCAAATCGGATACTCCGTTCTCTCAAAAAATCGATTTCTATTTTCTGCACTTGTTGCTCCGTATCTACAAAACGGCTGGACCTGCCTTCGATAAAAACTAATCAGCTCTTTTCCCTATGAATAGGAATCGAATGTTTTTTGAACCATTCAAATCGGTTGATCCGTGCGCCCGAAAACGTGACTGGAAATTTGTATCCATACATACATACACACACACACACACATCCATTTTTTCTGAGGTATGCCAAAACGTTCAGAAACCTTCAAAACGTCGAGAAATGTAAAAATTTTCAATTCCGATTTTCGGCCCATTACAATAACTTACCCTATGGGAAGTTAATAATAAAATTCCCTACAAAACTTGCTTTTACAAAAAATATGTTGTCTTGCAAGATTTTGCTAAAACCGTCTCGAGAAAACAGCATGTTGTAGAAAATTCAGTTTACGAATTTGTGTGTATATATATATATATATATATATATATATATATTACATGTATCTTTTGAAAGAGTCAAAGAATTCTCTCTCGTAAGAAGAAGCCGGTCACGTTTCACTTTCACTGAAGACTTTGGCTTGCACTTTCTTCTCGGTTCTACACTTTGAATGCCCCTCGACTTTAGACGCCAAAACATTATCATTAACAACTACTAATCACCGGTAACACTTTGCATATCATTAAAAGAACCAGGTGTAAATATTAATTGATACCTGGTAATTTTGGGTATTCATTAATCTTATACATAGCTAATATAATGAATTTTCTATAACATGCTGTTTTCTCGAGACGGTTTTAGCAAAATCTTGCAAGACAACAAATTTTTTGTCAACGCAAGTTTTGTAGAGAATTTTATTATCTACACTTTAGTTTATTATCATTTTTTCACAAAACTTCATATTTTCGGAGATATTTATAAAAAACCTTTATAAAAAACATTTATAAATAAAAAATATTTTGTAAATAAGTTATTTACAAAAACTTGTCACTAGCCGCAAGTTAAATTACATTAAGTATATTATGTCTTTATGACAAAGAATTCTTTAGCAAAAGTTTTTATGACGACAAATTTTTTGTCAACGCAAGTTTTGTAAAGAATTTTAGCAGCACCCAAACCCTCAAATTTTTTGCTTTATCATTTTTAACAAAAAAATAAGTCTTTTTTCATTCGAATACGTGATCGCAATTCCGATTTATTTATTAATGAAAAAAACAACAAACATTTATTCCGAGCGAGTGCGTTTGTGTTTAGAAAATACAAAACGCGGAAATCAAGAAGGAAATAATATATGTATGGATTTAAAATTCTAAAAACGTTTTTGTTTTAGAGAATAATGATTGGGTAAATGATTTAGTAAAAGATAATAATTAATTTATTAACTAGAACTTCACTTAATTCATCAGAAATAATAAAGGCCTGACGTAGTCAAGAGTGGAGCATTTTTATTAGTAAATTGTTTACTATGAATTAATTAATTTTAAAAAAAAAATTTTATTAAAGTTGCTATCTTCTACATTTTTATATGATACTTATATGTTCATATTTTAATAACAGATACTAAAATTTATGATTTGGTACTTGGAATATTTATAAAAAATCGATTTGTACAAAAATACACCCGAAGAGAATTTGTACTTGGGAAGGTTGAAGGTTCTGTCAGGGGTTGCTTAATTTTTTTATTCAAATTTAAGAATGGTACAGTCTTGTGAATTGTTTATATGATACTTAATTATGTCTATTTTATTAACAAATACCTAAAACTAATGATTTGGCTCTTAAAATATTTATAAAAAAATCAATTTGTACAAAAATGTACTTGATGCATTTTATGAGGGTTTGTGCTTGGGAGGGGTGAAAAATTTGTCAGGATTTGTTTATTTTTTTTATTAAACGTTAAAAATGATACAATTCTGTAAATTTTTTATAGGACACTTATATATGTCTATTTTATTAACAAATGCTTAAATTGTTCATTAAGCTCTTCAAATCTTTATAAAAAAAATCATTTGTATCAAAATGTACCTGATGTTTTATGAAAATTCGTACTTGAGATTTTGTTTAATTTTTGTATTTAATTTTATGAAATCTATAATTTTAGAATTATTTTATATTAAACTTAAGTATGTTTTTATTAACATCAAATACTGAATTCGTTATCTTTATTAACATCAAACACTAAAATGATTTTACTTATACAAAAATTATTAAGTCCAAATATTAGGTTGTCAAATATCTCCCTTCCGCCTTTTTGTATTATAAACCAATAGCAAAAAAGCGGAAGGGAGATATTTGACAACCTAATATAAGCAAATCTTGAAATCTAACAATAATATTTTTTTTTGTATTTTTAACACTGATTTACAAGTATATGTGTATTGAATTGTATTTATTTCTGTTTGTAATTTTTATTGTGAATTATTCAAATGAGTTCCTAGATGCATTCCATTATGCATTTTTTACTTGCATTTTAAATAAAATCTGTTAATAATAAATGCAATGCACGAACATGATGCATTTTAATCAGACATTGCACATGCAACATCATCATCAATCATTAAACGTTGAATTTGCAATTATTTTGAAAGATTTGCTTTGGAATTTTAATTTTATATGTAAAATTAATTTTTTAACAACCAAGTCCGTATTTTAGTAGAAAAAAATCGCCTGTTTCAGGCAAAAAAACAATTACCAGAAAAATTTGGTAAAATTTTGATTTAACTTGTTTAGAATTTTATTCTAGGCAAATTTGGTGGTGATTTTTTGTATGTGTGTATGTATATGTATATTGTATCTATTTTTTATTAATTTTTAAAATTTTCGTTTCAGGAAACGTTAGAAAAATTAATTTTAATCGACCCAAACAGTCAACTTAGTGAGAGGAACAAAAGAACAATCGGAGTCCTGAGGGAACTTTTCCCAAATTTGTCTCAGGTAAGTTATTAATAAATGAAAAATCACTATAAATATTAAATTTATATTAATTAAATATCATAAAAATAATATATGATTTAATAAGTAACATACACAGTCAAAAATTTATAGAAAAACACACTAAATTGTATGTTATATAACAATTATATTATATGAATTATACAAAAGTATATTCATATTATAGTACATGAATTTGGTTATAATTTAATATTAAATATTAATTTATGTTAAATTGATTTGAAATAATTTTTATATTGAATTTTAATGTTTTGTACATGTTTTCCTTCAACAATTTTGTACATAACTTATTTATTACATTAATTATTCAATTATTTTACCAAAAAGTTATTCAAAAAGTTCCTGTATTTAAAAAAGTTTTGATTAGGAAAAATTGTGTCAATTACAATTTTTTTCTAGAAAATTATTTTATTCATTTAAATGATATATGTATATTTTTGTCGTTGTAGTATATGTGTTAAATTTATATGGTTCTTTAACCTTTTGTATGAATTACAAATTTCGACATCGATATTGAGATTTTGTGTGCGTCATACAAAGAGAATTATTTTTATTTTATTTTTTCTGGAGAAGATTGTCTTTTGTATTTTGTATCAAATTATATATATATATATATATATATATATATATATATATATATATATATATATAAAATATTTATTTTATTATTACAAATTTTATAGACTCTAAATTTACAAAAAATATAAAAGATATATCTACTAGAATATGCTTCAACTTTTTAAGAAAAATTTTGAGCTTTTGTTCTATTTTTTTTTAAATTTATTTAATAAGATTTTTTATTTTATATATATGAGTGCTAAATAATTACAAAAATGTTAAAAATTGAATTTAATATATTGCTAAAGAAACAATTAATTTTTTCTACGATTTTGTGAATACTCGTATATACAAAAATTCAATATTTTTATTACTTATATGATTTTTATCCTCTATATAAAAATATACTTGTAAAATATTTTTAAAATTAAATATAACATTAATTATTAACAATTCTGATTTAAAAAATATCGTATAAATATTTTACTTAATATAAATATGAATATTTAAAAATTGTGGACAAAGTTTCAGAGAAGATCTTCATAAATATTTTTATTCACTGTGCTTATTATTATAAATTTTAAAATTTATATGTAATAAATAAATAATTAAATACAAAATGTATTAACAAGATTTTTATGACTTTAAGAATACTTAAAAAACTTTAGCATTTTACTAGTGATTTTTTTTTTAGTGAAAAATTTTACTATTTTTTTATTACTTTCAAATGCGTTTTTAAGTATACCGAGTTGCTGTAATATCAAACAATAATATGAATTATTCAATTTTAAACTTTGTCAAATATTTCATGAACTTTAAACAAACTCTTCGAATGTTATCGGAAATATAATAGAAAAATGCAAAAATCAATCCTGGAAGCCTAAATATATTTCATACTTTCAATTACAATTTTAAAGTATACCGAGCTGTTGTAGGGCATTATAATATTAGATAATATTATAGTTAGTGCGTTTTTAAACAAATTTCTCAAATATACTATTAACTTTAGACGAACTTTTGAAAAGTTACAAGAGATTTAGTAAAAAAAAACGCACAAAGCAATCCTGGGCGCTTAATTACATTTCATACTTTCAATTGCAATTTTAAAGTACACCAAGTTGCTGTAGGGTATAACAATATTAGACAATATTATAAATAATTCAATTTTAAACAAATTTTCTAAACAACCTATTAACCGTAGACAAATTTTTCAAAAGTTATAACGCTTTCAACAACCCAGTACAAACCAAACAAATATTTTCAACTTGATGTAAGTTTTTGTATACTTCCATCAAGTATACACATTCCAACTTACATTACAACTTTTTCTACTTAATACTTAACTCAAAACAAAAAAACTCGTATAGATTGCAAAGTCTATTCAAAGTATAATTGCTAACAAATGTACATACATATATATTATATTGACACATGTGCGAGATTGTAATAGGCCGTTTCTAATGCATTTTATACATAGGAATATATGGATATTTTGATGTATAAGTGTCTATTAGATATGTATGTATGCCTACGTGTGTTTTTCTATCAAAAAAATTTGGATTCGCAGTGGTTTCCGAACCGGTTAAGCAACGATCCAGTTTCACTCCAAACACTTTCGTTATTCCACATAATATTACTTATATACTAGTAGTGTTGCATAAATTTGTTATTCTCGAACTCACGTAACCAAAACCGTTGAAAAAAATTATCGATTCGATGTAAAACGAGGGAAATCTGGTTGTTTAGAGTTTATTCAATGATATAAAATATTTTTAACTTCCCGAAGGAGAAGTTTATGTTTTCATAAAAAAATCTGATTCTCTAATTTTATATTTTCTCCACGTTTTAAGCCATTCTGAATCGAATGAGACCAAATTTAGAAATAGTATGTGTGTGAACAGATTTTTTGCCGTAAATCGACGTTTTCTCGAAAACGGCTGGGCCGATTTCAAAAATTTTAAAAGTACTCTATGTATCTCGACGAGAACTATTGTTTGTCAATTTTGTGCGACGATCGGCCAAACCGTTTCTTTATAAATCGCAGAAATGTGAAAAATTTTTCGTCTACGTTTTAGCCCGCATTTCTGAATCGATTTGGAAAATTCAAAAACCGTTCGAAAGATATTGGTTGGGAATCGTGCTGATTAGTTTTTGGTAGAGATCGACCGGGCCGTTTTCTTGTAATAAAGTTTTAAAAAAAAAAATTTCAACGATTTTTATGATTATTTTTTTGACGGTATCATAGTCTTCTAGATCATACTAAAATATTACGGCCCTACGACAACTGGTTCAGCTTTAAAATTCGTCAAAGTTTGCAAAAATTAGTATCGTTTTTTGGCATTTGTCAAAATTAGACTTTTGATCGAATTTTTCTCGAAAACGCCTGAACCGATTTTAGAAATTTAAAAGCCATTTGATGTATTTCGGTGAGGATTATCGTTTGTCAGTTTTCTGGGACGATCTGCCAAGCCGTTTCTTTGCAATTTGAAAAAAAGTGTTAAACTTTTCGTTTACATTTAAGCTCATCCTACCGAACCGATTTTAAAAAATCAAAAACTGTTCGAAAGATATTAGTTGGGAATAGTACTGATTAATTTCAGGTGAAAATCTAACGAGCCGTTTTCTTGTAATTAACTGTTGAAAAAAAAATTTAAGCCGATTTTCATGGAACTTTTTTTGGCGATAAACATCATGGTCTTATAGAACTTACTGAAATATTACGGCTTTACGACAAGTAGTTTAATTTTAAAAATTCATCAAACTTTGCTAAAATTATTATCGTTTTTTCAAGTAGGACTGATGAAGTATATTATTTACACTTTTTTTATTAAGTCGATTATTTACACATATCGGGAAGTTCATGTAAATTGCCTTAAGGCTAAATACCAAACCAACTAGTTAAAATAAATTGATATATTAAATTCTTACTATTTTGATCTAATTGCATGATGTGAGACGTCCAGGATTTATTTGTTTATTTATTTATTATATGTCTTGTAACTTTTGAACAATTTGTCTGGAGTTACTAGAATATTTGAGAAATTTATTTAAAATTAAATAATTTTTAATATTGTCTAATATTATAATGCCTTATAGCAACTCGGTATTTTTTAAAAATAATATTTTACATCATTGCATATCAAAACCTTTACTAGTTTTTGCCAATTATTTCAATAAATCTACTAATAAACTCATGTTTTAATTATTTTTTTATCAAAGGGAAATGTGTTTTACATCTGTCTATATAATATTTCAATTCGATTCACGAAAGTGGAAATGATTATTAATTTTTTTCTTCATTCGCTCCGAGCGAGGTCGTTCAAAAGCAAGGCGAACAACACGACCGACCAACATTTGTATATTTATATATATTTATGTAATAATATTATATGAGTGAGATTGTATTTATGCAATTTTTTGCATGTGTACACATTAAATGAATATGTGAACGCATTTAGGTCAATTTGGAACAAAAACCGAGCGAACGGGCGATAAAAAACTGAAAAAAGTACTGTTTAACACTCGACGGGGATTTAAAAGTACACCGAGTTGATGTAGAAGGTTTTGGTGTTAGGATTAGTCATAGATTATTCAATTTTAAACAAATTTGCCGAATATTTTATATGGATTGAGTGAACGGTTTAAAAATTATGAGAAATGTTCGAAGTAAATGCATGAGATTGCATAACTACTATGCAATCTCATGCATAGCTCATAATCATCTCTTGCGTTGCTACTATGTTTTCAAATGCAATTATAAAGTATACCGAGTTGCTGTGAGTAATGTGTTGTTATACAAAATATTAATCATTTAATTTTGCACAAATTGTCAAATATTTCATTTACTTCGGACAATCGGTTAAAAAGTTACAAGTGATATTTCAAAATAGGACATAGATCAATTCTTCTCGCAGATTAACAAAATAGTATTTGTATTTTCCAAAATCGGCAACAAATACATATTTAGAATATTTATATATATATATATATATATATATATATATATATATATAATTATGCAATATTAGAAACTCTTTGACGATTGTCCAAATTCAAATAGAAGAAATGAAAAAAAGGCGACCGACGGGTCACAAATACTTTCTCCAATATAAATGATGAATTGTTAATTATTGATGACGACAATATATACATATGTTGTAATAAATTTATGTAATTACAAAAAATAACATGTCATTATAAAATTTTGCTTTATAAATAAAAAAGCGACAAAAGGCGACAAAAAGCTCCCATGTTATTCAATAGCCGTTGATATGGGAAAATGTATTTAAAAATAATTTATCACTAATTTAATAATAGCTTAGTAAACTAAATACGTAAATAATGATTAGCAGGTACTATTGTAGACATTTTAAAACTACAAAAATGCATATATAATTTTTTATCTATTAAATCAACTCCGTCCT